GCGTTGTGGACACGGCTCATGTGTTAATGACCAACGAGGCGAACTGCACGACGACATCCATCTCCGTTGACGTCACTGGCGCTTTATTATTCTCATTCACTCTTACGGCCAGAGAACTGACGAGCACACCCCATATTTCTCACCTGCACTTAAATCTGTTTGATAGAAATACGTCCAAATAATAGTGTATTAATGCATGTAACGCTTGTAGCTTCCCATAAAAAGTATAACTAAGGCCTTGTTTTACGAAGTACTTCTTTGAAACTTGCATGTAGGCCCGAACAAAGAAAACTCGCCTTTTAATGCCCTCTGCACTTCGGTATTCACGGCAACCAACATAAGACCTGCAAAATATACTTATGAGCAGATGATTTATCATGAAAGTGATAATGTCTCTAAGTTTGCGACACGTTTTGTCGCAGGGGCGAAAGGGAGCGTGCTCCTGGATCATGGCCCAATTACCAATTAACCACTAATTGAGGGTAATGGGAGCCTATCTGGCAACCCCAGGAGGACGAAGCGTCTTAATTAACGCACCCCATCCGAAAATTATGCCTATTAATCAAGCGGTGGTCCCATTAAACGAGTCCCGTCCTGTCAACCCAGCCGCGGGGCTGGCAATCGATGCCGGCGCCTGCTAAGCCTTTGACGCAGCCCGCCGAACAGGTATGCATGACGTGCTGCCTGCTCGCTGCCCTAGTTCAGAGCACCTTTATGAAGCGAGTATGGGGTCCGTTTAGAGTACCCTCATAGGAAGATTATGAACATTGCGGGATCATTTGGATCGCGTTTAGCAAAAAGGAATCAGCGTGACTGTAGTGTTGTAAAAATATTGCTTTTTCATGATTATCAAAAAATCTCCCAGAATAACAAATAGTTTTGGCTTCTCACCGAAAAATTGGTAATTTTCCGGATCTATCTCGGAACTTTTGAAAAAATCTGAAAGGGGTTCCGGAACTTTTGACGGTTACGGAGTGGAAGAAATTGTAACGAACAGGTTCCAAATCTCGGAACTTGTGAAATTTTCCTGAATTTTTCCCGGAACTTGAAATTTCCTGCATCTTATGCATTTTTCGGAACTCTCTCGGAACTTTTGAAAAATCTAACAGGAATCCCGGAACTTTTGACGCGGTCACGGAGTGGAAGAAACTGGAACAAAAAAGTTCCGAACTCCGGAGCTTTTGAAGGACATGGAACGGGAGCCTTGCAGTATCAGACTCAACAACTTACCAAAAATGACCAAATAATGAAGCAGCCCGGGAAATATGGACCTTTAGTGAGCCAAAAATCGGAATTTTGGGAAAGTTCAGCTTAGAGTGGGCTCAAAAATGACCGTTATCGACACCCCTCCCTTTTCTCCACCACAATGCAAATCTCGCGAGCCTACCCCCCAAAAAAGAGCCGTCTAGAAAACGAAAATGAATGCGACTGCCTGCTCAGCAATCAAATTTTTTTCTTCCTATTTTTTTACAGCAAAATTTCAAAATGTAACAACTCGTATCCAGCCCCTTTGAAGTGAGAGCTTCTTAAGTTCCTGCGGAACGCATTCCCGTTTATAATAGTCACTCTTGCGCCTTCCTTTACTCCCCCCTCCCCCACCTCCACCCCACCAACCTAGCCCTTTGAGGTGCAACCGCGGCGTGCCTCTGCCCTCCCTGAAATCGTCGCTCCTCAGACGTAAGGGCGTATCTCGATAGCCGCATGAGCCCCAGAAAGCATGGGTTCATAGGTAAAACAGGGCTCACGTAGAAATTAAGGTACGCCCTTACGTCAGAGGAGCGACGAAATATTGCCGTGAAGCTACGGTATTTAATTTTCACGCTCGCGGGGAGCGGGATTCCATCGAGGTTTTTGTGCTAACAGGACTTATGTGTTGCGCGCGAATCCTATGCACATAGTTCCTTTCAGCATAAATACACCCACGTGTATTCGCGTGCTACAAGCTGTAGGATAGCGAGGAAGAGGGGGAAAGAAAAAGGAAAATGGAAAAAATTAAAAGGCGCGTGCAGCGAGATTAGACTCTTTGAGCCGTTCTGCCGTGCTAAGGAAGAACGCCGTATGAACAATCGAGAGTTGCCAAATTTCCATTGATAAAACGTGTATTTTTGACGCAATTTCAGAGTTTTTCCCTTGAAATTGTCGAATATTTTAGATTAAATTGCGTACAATATTGTCTGATACTTTGGCCGTAAAGTGACGATGTGCTGTGGTGTTCTGGGCCCAAATCTGTGCAATGGTGAGCTCTCATGGCGTTTTTTGAAGTTGGTAACGCTTACCTCTGTTAAATTTAGGTAAAATATAAGAACATTCTACCAAATGGAACCATGCGCCATGATGCTCATGAACCATGGGCATGTCACAAGAGCGTGGTGGACAGGGCTCATGAGTTAACGCGTCGAATCGTCTCGCGTCGGCTCCGTCGCACGGTGGATCGAGTTAATGTAAGTGCGGCTGGACAAAATTTGGAAACTTTAAAGGCTCATAACCCGTTTACTTAAAACTTTGAGATTCCTAAAGCGGTTCCATTGGTTTTCTATATAAATTTTCTTTTAGAAACACACCTAAAAACTTAAAATGTGACGGAATAAACATCAAAATTTGCAGTTTTAGTTGAAAATTTCATGTCCAACCTCTCCGATTGACTTTATCCACTGTGCGTCGTCGCCTCTAACGTCACTTGAGCTTTATAATGGAAATGTTGCATGTGTGAGGAATTTGCGATTTGACTGTTGATCCTTATGTAAAGGTTTGCGAGAAACACGATGGTGCCACTGGTTTTCTCTGAAATCAACTCCCAAGTTCAAAAAAAGCTCTCAAGTTGAGGCCAAAATGGAGGGGATATCCCACGCTATCCTGAGAGTTCACCTCTACATCAAGACGAAATCTCCATGCAAAGATAGGGAGCAAATACATTGACAGGGCTGCCACTTTATTTGGGGACTCCAAAACTGAAAACATGGCATCACTGCGAATGTATTTGCTCCCTATCTTTGCATGGAGAGTTTGTCTTCATGTAGACGTGGACTCTCAGGATAGCGTGGGCTATCCCCTCCATTTTGACCTCAACTTGAGAACTTTTTTTGAGCTTGGGAGCTGATTTCAGAGAAAACCAGTGGCACCATCGTGTTTCTCGCAAACTTTTACATAAGTATTGACTGTCAAATCGCAAATTCCTCACACATGCAACATCTCCATTCCCATTCATTCTTACGGCCCTCAACCGACGAGCACACCCCACCTGTCTCTGGGTTCAGTTAACAGGAATACGTCTATATCGAGTCGATTTTCTGCCAAATTCGGCGTCGCCGCGTGATGTATCGCCTCTGCGAGGAGGTAGTTAATTGGCCGATTTCGAAAAACTTCCCCAAGCGAGAGCGCGGATTTTAGCGGGTCGCGATTCGCGGATCGCGCCATCCAGCGATGTCGAATCCTTCGAGAGGGAGCTCTCGTCGACGACTCAACCGTTGGCTTTTCTCTTCGGTTTGGCAACGACGCTTTTTGGAAAGTTGTTAAGTTCTCATTGTACCGTTTACCTTAGATAAACGAGCGCAATTTGTGTACAATCGCGGGTTCGCAACTTTCGACCCCCCCTTCCCTACCCCCGTCGCCCCCCTTCTATCCCCACAGAAAGCATTAAAAGCATGGATGAGTGCAATTTATGCTACTTGAGTGGAGCTTTCACGACCTCCAAGAAGAGGAAAAGTTTTATTGAAATTAAGTTTTTACTTCTTTTTTGGGGGTTGAACGGGTTGCGGAGAGATCGAGTCCGTGGACCGATGTGACGTCGCACAGTGAATCGAGTCAACGGGAGAGGTCGGACGAAATTTGGAAACTTTAAACGCTTGTAACTCCGTTTATTTAAAACTTTTAGGTTCTAAAAGTGGTTTCATTGGTTTTCTCGTGGAATTTTCCTCCGTACGCATCTCTCAAAATGTGAAATGTGACGAAAGAAACATCAAAATTTGCAGTTTTAGTCAAAAATTTCATGTCCGGCCCCTCTTTTGGACTCGATTCACTGTGCGTCGGTGGAGAACTCGTTTAAACCGAAGCACTCCCGAAGAAATCCCCTTTTGTTACAAACTTTGACTTTCTTTTCTGAGACCTCTTGTTCTAATACCTGGATGCGACTAATCTTCCTTAACTAACGCTGAATAAAAACGTCATTATCTTGGTTTGGAGCTATCATCGGTTATTTTCTTACGGTAATCGGGTTTTACACGAAATTGGAAAGGAAACAACTATCAACTCGTGTTAATTCGCATACGTTGTCCAGTGGCCTATTAACATTTTTCAAACAATTAACATTTCCAAAAATGTATTTATGATATTGTGCGTGTATCGATCAGTGTACGAAAAAAAAGAGGAGAAGATGGAAAAGAAAAAGGCTACGCTAGTTATTATTGCCAACGACCGGACTGTAAGGCTAGGCACTTGGGCATTTGTGATGTCGACGCCTGCGAGGATGCAATTATTCGAGCTCGGTGGATGTCCGTGTTGCATATACAAGAAACTGAAGGCGTTTTGGATTTCTGAATGTCAACGCGACGCCGGGATGCAATTTTTCGTGGTTGATGGATATCCTTGCTCCTTACACAAAAAAGGGAAGGCTCCCGTAATTTCAACTTTTCGTGCACGATTGATGTCCGTGTTGATTTATGCGGGATTCCAATTTCAATTTTCTCCCGTCATCGTTTTGAGAGCAGTGAAAATTTTGGTTGAGGCGCATTAGAAAAAATCTCTTAATTTTTCGTGGAAAAACTATGTTTGCCGGGCAAACTTCGCCCCTTTCTATTTTATTCGCGTTCCACGAGTGAAAATCAAACTTTACACTTGAATCAGCAGTAAGATGCTATAGTATAGCGTTGCTAGCCATACTGCATATTTTAGGACGACGACGCGATATTCATTTTAATGTTGTTTTTAGTTAATAACTTAAGTTCCGCACTTTAAATTAATTTGAAAAAACAACTCAAGCTGACCCTTTGTTTTGTTGTTTTCAGATTTTTGTACGTGCTCAATTTGATTATGACCCTCTTGAAGACGATCTTATCCCCTGTGCCCAAGCAGGGATCGCCTTCAAAACTGGAGATATACTTCAGGTAAGGTCTCAATACTTATTCAAGTACTCGATAATTATACCTTTACCACAGCTAACTTACAATCAGATGGGCTTTTTAGTGAACCAGGACCAAGTTTAACGTAAAACTAGCCGAATTAATCTATATTAAGGTTTTAGGCTAACCGAATCTAAAAGAAATTTTCAACGCCTCTGTTTAAAAAGCTCTTTTTTAAAAACCCTGTTTCGCTATTTTTTAAAGTAAAATTTACCTCACGGTGAAATTTACATGAAAAAGTCAATGACTACTTTTTGAGAGCTTTTTTTTTCTTTTTTTTTTTAAAAAAAAACTCCTGGTATTTTTTTATTATTCTTTCTATGATGACGAAATTCTAATTGGAGGAAAATCAAAACTCTTTCATATCAATGTGCGAAACATGATTCTTGCAGCTAATTTACTTTGTTTCTATGACTCGACAGATAATTAGTAAAGATGACCACAACTGGTGGCAAGCGCGGAAGGATAGTGCGGCTGGTTCCGCGGGACTCATCCCTTCGCCTGAGCTTCAGGAGTGGCGCATTACCTGTGCACAAATGGAGAAATCCAAGCACGAACAAGGTATTATCAGCTTTACTATTTATGACTGGATTTTCCCTTTTTCTATGGATAGGCTTCAGTACGCATTTTTCAACGTATATTAAATGTGATATATACAGGGTGTCCCAGGATTCAGTACGAATACCTATTGAAGAAGGCGATTCTTTCACTGGAAAAAAAAAAAAAAACACATTGGATCTAGAGTCCAGCCTCTTGAAAACATTGACAAGAAAAAATACTCTTGATTCAATCGGATTTTTGCTTGAATCAAAACGAAATCCGCTTAAATTAAGTTGCTTGGTTCTTAATTTAAGCTAGATTCTGATTGAATCATGAGTACTTTTTCTTGTCGATGTTTTTAAGAGTCTGGATTCTAGATCCAATGTGTTTTTTTTCCAGTGTTGGGTTAAAAAAAGACGTTTTGTGGTTCAACTTTTTTTCCAAAAACGCTTTCCCTGGGAGCCATGGCCCTTCAAAGTTAAAGGAAAAAAAAAATCGTCTTTTTAACACAGTGACAATGTTTACCAATGAAAATTGGTAACTGGGGGTAGTTTTTAGCGTTCTTTTCATTTTTGACCTCCAAAATAGGGAAAACGAATTTCGAGGGGGGGTTTAGGGGGGTATCGAACCTAGACTAGAAGTGGCCAAAAGGGTACAGGGTACAAGAGTACAGGGTTTACCGCCAGTTTTAAATTTTGTATACTTTTGGTAAAAATGCAAAGGACGGTTCCACGAACTTACAGACTAAATCACAAGGCTTGCGTTTCTTAAAGCTGTGTCAACTTTAGCCAGGCTGAATTTTACAAGCGTACTTCATTAATTTAGGAGGAGATATAGTAAGTCAAAAAATGGGGGAAATACTAGGAGGATAGGTGCCCTTGAAAATCTCAACCTAAAATCTCGAGAAATATTTTCCTATGTCTAGAATAAGAGAGAAGAAAAGAAGTCGCTATGAAGATACTGAGATGACATGATCCGCATTATCTTGAAATCTAATTGTTTGCTCTTACTTTTTTATCGTGTATTTTGTGGTGATAAAAGGACAAGCCATTTTTTGGAAAGAGTCTTTCTCCATTCAGTACAAATTTTCTATTTTTACGTAATAGGTACCTACCTATTCCAGATTTATACCACACGATACATATCACACCAACAAAATTAGGAGGTAAACCTCAAAAGCTTTTTGTGCTTTTTTGTTGGTATGTACTGAAACAATTTTTTGGTCAGTTAAATTCTGAGTACGGACCTAATCCCCAGTGCTCCCATTCCATGTCCATCAAAATCTCCGTATCTCGGAACTTTTTTGTTCCAATTTCTTCCACCCCATGACTGTTTAAAGTTCCGGGATTCCATTTAGATTTTTCAAAAGTTCCTAGAAAGTTCCGAAAGAGGCATAAGATCCGGAACATTCCGGGAATTTCAAAAGTTCCGTGAAAAATTTAGGTAAATCTCAAAAGTTCCGGAATTCGCAACTAGTTCCGGGAAATGAGAGCACTGCTAAATCCCTAAATCTTACCACGCGATGCATATTACACCAACAAAATGAGTAGGTAAACCTTAAAAGCTTTTTGTGCTTTTTTGGTGGTACACCGAAACAATTTTTTGCATAGTTAAATTCTGAGTACAGAAGGTTAGAACAGGTCTGCAAGATCACTCATCAGTCAAACATAAACTATACACTCTTGACCTTAGTTGTTAGAATGAAAAATCCTGAAAATCAATGTCCCCAGTAGAATTCTCTCGAACAGTAACTATTCGACCCTTTTGTTTACCTGCATTGGTTCATGGATACCCCAGTCCGAATAAATGACAACCTACCCAGTAGAATAAGCCCTTTTGTATTATTATGATGTGAGAATGTTTCGTGGCAATGAATGTTGGTTGTGACGGCATGTGTTTGTGTTCTACCAGACAAGGAATCTGTCCCCGGGTGTTCCTCCCACAAAGACGGCTGTGACTCATCAGCAGGTAAACACACAAACACACACACCAAACCCAAATAGCATGGCATCTTTCAGCAGAACCAAAAATTCCGCAAGCCAAACGATATTTGAACGTGTTTCTATCAAGCGGAACTACACTGAAAAAAATAGTTCTGTTCACAGGGCTCCTGCACTTCTTTTGTAATAGTCACAGAAACTTCCGTTATGAGGACGGACTATTCTGTTCACGACCGAAGTTCTGTTCTGACAACAGAAAAATTCTGTAAGTGTAACAAAGAAACTGCAGGAGCCCTGTGAACAGAAGGCTCTGTCGTCAGCACCATCTATTTCTTTCTGTGTATGGGCATTATGACGTGACCCCTGTTATGCACATATTCTTATGGGTTTTAAGGCTCATGTCTTAATGCACATAGTTCCGTTTAACAAAAATACGTCTATCTAGCGACGAACTCGAGGCCCAAGTTTTGATCTTTTAAATAATAAATTGATAACCTGACATGCGCTGACACAGAAAATGATCGTCTGCAACGTTGTAGCGTGTACCATCACGTGGCAGACAACCAACTTCCGTGTCAGCGCAGATTTAAGTGGTTAAAACTTGTGCCACGATTTTGCCACTAAATGGACCGCGTTAAACAGAAAGGAACCAAGCCACATCAGCTATTGCCAAATTTAATCGGATAAGTTAATTTTTTTCATGAAAACGGTTGTGCGGATTTTCGTGCAAATTTCAGTGAAAATTCTCCATAGTTTGAAGCAAATTCCTTGACAATTTCAAAGGAATCCACACGAACGATCTCTCGTAAAAAATTAAATTGCCCAGTTAAATTTGGCAATAGCTGATGTGGCTTGGTTCCTTTCTGTTAAACTCGGTCCAAATATCGTCTGGCTCTCGGACTAAAAGATGTATTTAATCGTCCAAATCTTAAAGTTGATGCATGTTTTCATTTTTGTACCTTCTTCAGAATATTTTGTGTGTAAAACCGTTTTAGTCCGGGTGTATCACGTTTCTAGCTTTGGTACCCTATTCCGCATTTGATCGGTTCAATTTACATGGAATTTCCCATTAGGAGTGGATCGTCAATTTTCAAGCGTAACGTTATTAACGTTATAACGTTTATTTAAAACCGTTCTTGCAAGATTTTTTGAGACTGGGTACATCGAAGTGGCGAAGTGCCAGGTAGCACTTCACCCGAAGTTCTATACATTTGTGACGGTGGCACTGGTCTAATAACATGTTGGACCGCACTGGAAAAAAAAAACTGCTTGGATCTGGAGTCCAGACTCTTGAAAACAATGACAAGAAAAAATACTCTTGATTTAATCGGATTTTTGCTTAAATCAAGAACCCAGCCTCTTAATTTGAGCGGATTTCCTTTAGATTCAAGTAAAAATCCGATTGAATCAAGAGTATTTTTTCTTGTCATTGTTTTCAAGAGTCTGGACTCTAGATCCAAGCGTTTTTTTTTTTCCAGTTCGTATTCATGATAGTTTCCTCCACTCTAAGGCCTCTTTATCACATAATGCAATACCTCCATGGAAGCCTTTAAGGGGTCTTCATTATTTACAGTTGAATTACGCAGCTTTTCGTTTTTTACTTATTTTCATATCCTCCTTTCCTCTTTTACATTGCACCCACAGTGAACACTTTCCTTCAGATTTTCGAGAAAAGTCAAACATTTTTTCTTCTACACTATTTACCTATCAAACTTTAAATAAATTAATAAATAAATTCAACCTTTCCCCTCTCCTCTGAGAACGCATCTCTTAACTTCCCTCTGAAGTCACGCAAGTAAATATAGATAGCTTTCCAGAGATGAAAGGTAGCTTGTATGTTGTATGCAGTTTGCATGAGCCTTCGTTCTTTTTTAAATCGTAATTCTTAAACAAAATCTTAGCTGACTTAGAAAGTTGAGTCGATTTTTTATAGTTAAACTTTCTGCTTTTTTCATTACACCCTTGACATGTTTTTTAAAGAGTAAAAGAAGTTAGTATGTGAGATAAGAATTCGTTAAAAGTCCTAATTAAACGTTTAACATAAGCCTCCCAGGGCTTCTGGCGGTCTGAGAAACCTGAAAAGTTGGGGGAAAGTCAGGATGGCAACCTGGAGAAGTTAGGGATTTTCGCAAGCAGCGTTTGGCAAAAAAATCTTTTTAAAGTAGAAAAATCCAAGCGGAAGCCTAATCAAATGCCATATAAAGTCAGGGTAAAGTAAATGTAGTAAGCAGTGGCGTGGCGTGCTTTGCGATTTATCGATTGATCTGTCATTTTAACCTATGGAAAAGGATCGATGAACAGGGTGTTCGCAGCGAACACTTTAATAATCGATTCTTTGCCATAGGTTTAAATGATATTACAATCGATACATCGCAATTCACGCCGCGCCATTGGTAGTAAGGGGAAAATCCGAGACTCGCGGAAAATGAAGAAATGATCGAAACTCTGACCTCGTTCATTCTAATGAAAATAATTGCTCTGTACAATGAGTCACTGTGAGGCACAGATTCCTGTGGAATTAGGTATGTTTTAAATCTGAAATTGAAGGCAGATTATAGGAGATACTGACTGTTTCTAGGATATATTTGTCGCGAGCAATCCGCAATCGCAGGCAATTTGCAAGCGTGCTTGTTAACCAGGGTGGCAGCGTTTCATGAAAAATACAATCTTGAAATTTCACGTGAAATCTTTAACGAAATTTATGAAAAATATCGGGTCCTTTTCATGTTCCACAAAATGTATAAATTGTGACTTTCCTCCATTTTTGTGTGTTTGAGTTCGGGCTGCATTTGTCGCAGGCAATTTGCAAGCGGTCCACACGTTGTTTCCATAAATCGCAATGATATGCATCGGCATAATGCAATTTTTAAGGGTTATGGTCTTCAAAAGTATGAGCTCGGCTTGAAGCGCCTTCATTTTTTGTGATACTGTACGCTTTGTCACGAAGTTAGTTTAGTTGCCTGTCCGATTTCAACCCAACTAATGTCACAGAGTTCACTACACGTTCTTCTAAGTGTGCATATCCCTGTCATGTTTTTAAGGATGGAAAAGTGTCTATTCACATTACAGGCAACATAATCAGCACTCTAATCTTGTTCTTTTATTTTTGAATTTTATGATTTTCTACACGGAAAAAACGAGCTTAGGGTTGAGTTCCGGTGTTGAGCTGTACAGCGCTTAGACGCCAGCCCTCAACTACTCCCCACTAAACGGCCAGTAGTGCTCAACACTAGTCTTGTTTTTTCCGTGTATATTTATCCACCACCAGCTTGTAAATTGCCGGCGATTGCTAATTGCCTGCGACACATACATACTCTAGCCCCTGAAAAATATGAAAAATTTCACAGCCTCGTGAAATTTCATGACATATTTCACTGAAATTCCCGATCTTTCATTTCTATCTTACGTTGCATGCCACCTGGTTGTTAACTCGTCGCATTGCAACAATTTCTATCAACACAGGAAAAGTCTCATCGGTAAAGAACAGAACCTCGAAGCTCGACCTCGACGTTGAGCGCCTTCAAAGCCTGGCGATACCGTCCGCTTTACCGGGAGGTTACTTTAGTTGCCGATCCGGACCAAACCCAACTATTCACCACTCACATTCGCGAGTGTGCTGGCTGGTTACAGAGGCAGATCCAGCAATTTGGCAACCATGGATTTCCTCCATTTAAACCTATGCTAAATAATCGATTCCTGGCGAAGCACCTGGCCCCTCCAAGTATCGATACATTCCCTTAAGTTTAAATGGAGGAAATCCGGTGTTGCCAAATTGCTGGATCCGCCAATAGGCTGATACCACGCATTCAAGAAAGGAACAACTTCTATAACCGAGCATTTTGATCAGCACTTTCTATCTTGGTTCTTTACTCCGGAATTTTCACATTTCCTTATTTAAAACAAGTAGATTGCAATTCGCCGGCGCGGCAATTTCTGACTCTCTGCAAAATATTCACATGTTCAATGCTCCATTATCAGGGTGTCTACAAGTTCGGAATTTCCAGAAAGTCTGGAAATAGCACTGATTCTTGAAAGGCGGTCCGGAAGTACTGAAAAAGTACGGAAATTTTGCAAGAGGGTCCGGAATTTTTTTCATTTTTGTCGGAATTCGAGCGAGGAATTCAAAGTTTTTCACTTTTTCGAATTTCGTCAATTGAAGGTACACAAAAAGTACTGACTTTTTCTGATCAAGAGGTACTGAATTTCGTGGGAATGTACTGAAAAAGCACTGTAAAAGTACTGAATTTTGGCCAGCCTGTTTTAGTAGACACCCAGATGATTGAAGACCTGCTATTTTAACCAGTCTCAAAACTGGTTATCTATCTTCACAATACATTGTTTTTACAAATTACTTCAACTGTTCATGAGAATGCACTTATTACCTTCACTTCCAGCAATCCTCCCCTAGCGTAAATATTACCTTGCGGTGAGCTAACCATCACCTTGCGGCAAGGTATCGGCCTATCCATCCTCTCCGAGCCCTATCCGAGCCCTCCTCGAGCCAGTTCAAGGAACTCGACGACCGGGATTAAAACCGTATGACAACACTGTAGACCCAAATCCAGACGCAGGGCTTGAAAAAGGCGACATTGCATCGGGAAATACCCCGTGTTGGGTACGATTTTCGGCTCCAGCGTTGCCATGCATAATTATTCCCAGTCGTTAAGTTCCACGAACTGACCCGGCGAGGGCTCGGATAGGGCTCGGTGAGGGTGGATAGGCCGATACCTTGCCGCAAGGTGATGGTTAGCTCACCGCAAGGTAATATTTACGCTAGGGGTGTCAATTAATTAATTTTCATAGAAGCATGCATACGTTTTCTACGGAAATAAAACTTAAAAAAAAAAAAAAATATTTAAAATAAAAATTACTTCCTATCTAACTTTTTGACTTTTGAATGGTATTTTGTACGGATCTCTGCTTCCTTCAGTTCGTTCTTTGGTACCCGCATTCGATAGTTTAGTTTATTATTAGATGATTTTGTAGAGAAGATTTCAATAACCGAATGTCGAGATTTTTTTTCGTATTTCTTTCCCTTGTACTTACTGGATTTCTTGTTGAGCATCAGAAAGTGAAGGTAACAAAAGCCCATTGGAATACCTAAATCACTAAAAGCTTTTCAATTTCTTAATTGATACCTAATCATCTGTACCGTATTTCTTTGCTAGCTACGAACAGATTGCGATTCGACACACAAGTCGTTCAGACTTCAATATTGGTGATTTAGCCAACTTGCGACCAGCACTCACAATCAGTAAACAACTGCAATTCATTATGGAGGGGGAAAAATCATTCAAGCAAATTTCAACCAATATTTTTAATCTCTTTCGGAAACCCAAGAATCGAGGAGCGTCAGACTGCTATCGACCAAGGGAGCAGTGGCGTGGCGTGCTTTGCGATGTATCGATTGTTATGCCATTTAGACCTATGGAAAAGGATCGATAAACAGGGTGTTCGCAACGAACACCTTAATAATCGATTCTTTACCACAGCTTCAAAAGGGGAAATATCGAAAATCGATCATTCACGCCTCACCACTGCTAGGGAGGCGAAATTCTGTATCAGCCGCGGGTAATAGTGTCATTCAGACAGCGAAGAAGGAATTCTCCTTCTTCGCTGATCTGTCGAGCTTACATGCAGAGAATTTTATGTTCACTGTGAAGAAATTTCAATTTGGTCTGATATTCTGCAGTGCTAAGGAAAAACGCTGCATGGATCTTCGGGCGTTGCCAAATTTCCATTACCGAAGCACGAACTTCCTGGTAAACCTATAAATAGTTTTCCTCCAATTCCTCAGATGTTGTTTGCAATTTCACCTAAAGTTCCTGAAAATTTCAAGGAAAAATATTCATAACTTTCCTCAAAAATAAACATTTTATCGAAGGAAATTTGGCAACGTCTGAAGGCTCATACGGCGTTCTTCCTTAGTGCTGAGGAAGAACGCCGTATGAGCCTTCAGACGTTGCCAAGTTTCCTCCGATAAAGACAGAATTTACTGGGAAAGTTGTGAATATTATTTTCTAAAAGTTTTGGACGGTTTTTAACGAAATGTAATCTAAAATATTTGAACATTTCAAGGAAAAATATGCATGAATGTAGTCAAAAATGCATGTTTTATTAATGGAAATTGCGCAACTCTCGAATGTTCATACGGCGTTCTTCCTCAGCACAGCAGTGTTGTAGTTGGGCTCAATAATCATCTCCTTCAGTAACGGTTAACGGCTCATAAATAAGTTATTCTTCCGGTTTTCAATAAGTTTATTCATATCGTTATTCTGTCATTTGTTTGTTTCAGTTAATTGCTCAATATTTAGTCGTAAAAAGAAACAGTACAAGGACAAGTACTTAGCGAAGCATAATGCTGTTTTCGATCAACTTGATCTAAACACATACGAAGAAGTCGTCAAGCTTCCAGGTATATTCTTTTCTCTTTAGTTTTTATTCTGTCCTGTCCCAGTTGCAGAATGAGATAAAAAAAAGTTAAATAAATAGTAAAAAGTAAGGAGAAAAATAAATGAATGATGTATAACTTTTATATGGAAATTGTTTTAAGTAACGGACGCACGACCATTTTGCATACGAAATGGGATTTCTTATCAGAAGCTCCCATTTTTGTCATCTTTTTCTGTAAAGAACAACGTGAGTAGGTATTATGTAACTGTCGTACGATTGGATGGCATTTTGCAAGATGATACCATTAGCAATAATGCAGGTTTTCAGGAGAGCAGGTTTAGCAAAACCCACTGACATTTAGAGGCGGATCCAGAAATTTGGCAACACTAGATTCCCACCATTTAAACCTGTGTTAAATAATTGATTCTTGTCGAGCACCTGGCCCCTCCAAGAATCGATATATTTCCATAGGTTTTAAACAGAGAAAAATAATGTTGCCAATCTGCTGGATTTGCCAATGTTGGTATTCATCTGCGAAAGGGTCGATTTTGATGTTTGATGGTTTATTTTATATCCATTGGATGTACCTATTTCAAATGGTGCGTTGACAGATTTTCCCAAAGCACTGTGCTTTCACCAAAAATGACGAAAAAAGAGTCACAATTTTTTGCCGCTAGAAAAAGCATAGGTAAGAAAGTTATTTGTGCAGAATTTGATGGGGAACATTTTCCCAATGATACGCATCTCGCCATCTCCAACCGTTCTCGAAATCTGGCCGAAAATCGCTCTCAACCGGTAGTCAGTCAAGCCATTAATATTATTACCAGACTTTAAAACTCCTTCAATTCAGAGGGTATGCAATTTGATCTCCTAGGAGTTAAAATAGTTGCTTGAAGTCGAAACGAGCATCCGCAAAGGGATCGGGTCAATCAGAGAAGTCGGACCTAAAATTTTTGACTTAAACTGCAAAATTTGATGTTTATTCTGTCACATTTTAAGTTCCAAGGGATGTGTACCCATGAAAATTCCACGAGGAAACCAATGGAACCACTTTTAGAAGTTCAAAATTTTGTATGAACGGAGTAATAAGCTTTTACAGTTTCCAAATTTTGTTCGACCCCTCCTATTGACTCGATCCACTGTGACCCGACTCAGCAACGGCCAGGGCCGGATTCACCTACTTGCCGCCCCCATCTCATTCGTTTTGAAACTCGATAAAAACCATCAAATGAACGTGCCAGCGGGGGAGGGGTGCACAAGACGAATTTACTCGTGTTGAACACATCTTTTGGGAAAGCCCTGTCTACACTACTAGCAAAACTTTGCGTGAAAGTTAAGTTTTGTAAACCTATCTCTGTGTGGACAAGGCCTTCCATTCATAAGAAATGAACAAAAAAAGTATGAAAGAACAAACATAAATGTGGTGGAATGATTTTAACTTCCGGCGCCGCGCCGCGCAGACCGCACCGTGTTTGGCGCAATGCGCGAAGTATTCGTGCATTCTTGTAGGCGCTATTCGTTTCACGCTGACCGCAATGACCGCACTGAGTTTGATGCAATGCGTGAAGTATTCGTGCAGTCTTGTAGGCGCTAATATGTGTTACATGCCGATCGCCGCGCCGAGGGCTTCTCCTTTTCATCTCAAGTCCTCGTTATCATTTCTCTCCAAGTCGCGCCGTTCTAGGCCAAATTGCGTGTTTGGTTTCTCTCGTAACTCGACTTATTGAGGGTGCTGTCTCTTGTATCACTAAGAGACGACAAAATTAGAAATTATTATACTCTCAGGAAATGAGAAATTTTGTTGCCTTTTCTCGTTTGTAATTTTGTTTTTATAAATCCGATTTTTCTATACCTACACTTTAAAAAATTGCAAATTTTTGCCGCCCCTTAGATTTGCTTCCATTGGCCGCGGCCCATGTGGCCACCCCCTTAATCTGGCCCCAGGAACGGCGCACACTGGGCCGAGTCAATAGGAGAAGTCGGACAGAATATGGAAACTTTGAAAGCTTTTATTTTTGATAATATACAACAGGAAAGTTTAAAAGTGGTTCCATTTGTTTTTTCATGAATTTTTTTCCAGCAACACCCATTGAAATTGAATTTGTGACCAAATCGACATTAAAATTTTAAATTTTAGCCAAATATTTCATGTCCGACCCCTTCTGTTAGCTTGTTCCACTGTGCGGCGCGGCGCTGCCGCTCCCTACCCAAGTAGACTCGTAGGCAACGAATCACCGGACTTTTTTAAAATTCCTTCATTTTGGTGGATATGCAATTTGATTGCCGGGGAGTTAAAGTAGAAGCTCGAGGTCAACAAGAGCCAGGTAAATTTCAAAAGTCGTGTTTAGCAAAAGAGGAACAACTCTTTGCAGGGCCGGATTAAGGGGATGGCCACATGGGCCGCGGCCCATGGCGGCAAATTTAGGGGGCGGCAAATTTTGCAATTTTTTGAATGTAGGTATCAAAAAAAGAGAGAAAAAAAATCGGATTCAGAAAATAAATTACAAACGAGAAAAGGCGACAGAATCTCTCATTTCCTGAGGGTAAAAGTATAGTAATTTCTAATTTTGTCGTCTTTCGGTGATACGAGAGACAACGCCTTTAATTAGCCGAGTTAAGAGAGAAACCAAACACGCAATTTAACCTGGAACGGAGCGGCGCAGCGGCGGTCGGCATGAAACGCATAGCGCCTTCAAGAGCTCATGAATACTTCACGCATTGCGTCAAACACAGTGCGGTCAGCGTGAAGCGCATAGCGCCTACAAGACTGCATGAATACTTCACGCATTGCGTCAAACACAGTGCGTTCAGACGCGGTCGGTGTAAAACGCACAGCGCCTATTTGACTGTAGGAATGCTTCACGCATTGCGTCAAACATAGTGCGGTCGGTTTGTTCTTTCATAATTTTTTCGTTCATTTCTTATAAATGACAGGCCTTGTTCACGGAACTTAACTTTCGCGCAAAGTTCCGTGAACTTTTGCTGGTAATGTCGACAGGGCTTCGCAAAAAATGTGTCAAACACGAGTAAACGCGCCTTATGCACCCCTCCCCGCTGCACGTTCACTTGATGGTTTTTACTGATGTTTCAAAATGAATGAGAAGGGGTCGGCAAAATACAGGCGGCCCACGGGCGGCAAGTAGGTGAATCCGGCCCTGGCTCTTTGTTCCTTCTTTCAAAATACGTTTGGTCGATTCTTCGAGAGTCTAATTTTCGTGGTGCAATCGAAATATTTTAAACAATGTTTTGGATATATATGGTGTGCTTTTTGTCATTAGTCACTAGTAAATGCTCTTCTGATGTGCAATCCGTCATAAATAAGAAATTGACAATTTGGCCGCTGGTTCTTTTTTGCTTTAAGTCGTCCATTTATCATATGATGCGATGCGTAATAACTGATGCAAAAATGAGTAATAAATGTTCCCCTTTTTCAATATGTATTTAATTATTTTATTCAGGCAATCCATTTCAACTCCTTCTTCACAGAGAGGTAAAATCAGGCAAGTTCCTCAGAAATGACAATGACTAATTTTCCTTTAGAAAAAGAGATGAGAGATACGCTTTCTTGCCGTTTCTAGGCTTAGGTGTGTCACATGTCACAATCTTGGTGACAATTTTGGAGGAACATGACAAGAGTGGTATATTTACAAGCTTGAAAGAATGATGCCTTTTTCTGACGCTCAATGTTTTTATTTATCAATTGGTTGATAGTAAATAGTCTAGTAACTCTACTGTAGCCAAATTAAAAAGTTCATTTGTCTTTACCGATCTTTTTTTTATAATTCATATGTTTGCTGTTTCAGTATTTGTTCGGAAAACTCTGGTCTTATTAGGAGCCCACGGCGTTGGTAGGAGGCACATTAAAAATACACTAATAGCAAGACATCCTGATAAATACGCATATCCCATACCTCGTAAGTAAAGTAGTCAGTTCTGTAACACTTTTAAAAAATCACAAGGTTAAAATATTCGTAGGTAGTTATTCTCTTCACGCAGCAGGATAATTACTCCTCAATTTTAACTTGTAATTCTGTTATATCTTCCTTTAGGTTTTTTGTAAGTAAGTAGGTACTGCGTATAAAAAAATGTATAAAATTGGTAGTTGTAATTTTAGAGGTCAGATCATACTTGATCTCTTACTCGAAAGTTGAAAGCAGACGTTTCTAGACCTACTTTCTCCGTTTAATTTTTGAAATCCTTTGTTTTTTAATCTATAGCATTTGTGTTTCTCCTTTCTCATAACCCCTCCATTTGTTAGAAGTTATCACAGTTAGACTACATTTTGCAATCAGGAACTACAATTTCTGATTTGGTTGAGTAACAAAGTACTTACCTATACAACATTTTTTTCCCTATGTACATAAGTGTTTCCACAAATGAGCCACATATTGTAGCTCCTAATTGCAAAATTTTGTCCAAGTAATACCTACCCACTGTATTATATTGGCCCCTCTGCCCCAGGGTTAAATATTTAAACTGCTGAAGTGGGTTCTTTGCATCAAAACAAGACCTTTTTCTCAAAAAGAGTTTTTTCCCCCAAGTTCTCTGATGGGAGGCATGCATGACTCTCTCAAAGGCTTACCTAGGGAAAATCATCAGGCTTTTTTTTTAATATTGGCGATATCGAAGAATCAAAATTCATGAAATATGGCTAATTCCCAACACAGGATGTTTGGCTAACCAAACTAGTCAGGAATGTGTCACTATATGTTAACGGCCTTTCTCCGAGTCTGCCAGTTCATCCAAATGTGGTTTGCTTTGAAACTAAGTCCTGGAGGAAAAAGATGCCAACAGATCATTCACAGTCAATAAGATTATTTTATGCTGAAAGCAATGGTATTCTAAAAAAGGACCATCATTGCAGTGAAAAAAACAAGTTCTTGGCCATGAAAGGTCACAGACTTCCTGAAATCTGCCTATGACTTGAAATTTTGACCTGAAGCCCTAGATGAATTCTGACTTGAGGAATCTAGACTATAGGGAGCACCCATTATTCAACAGTTTTGTTTACTCGTTTTCAAGATTCTATTCAAATTTTGCACACCTGGGACATTGACACATCTTCATTGTTGTCTCACTGTTAAAACTGTATAATTATTTTTGCCTGTGACCTAAAAGTCAGTTGATTTTAAACGAGCATCTAATATCAGTGTATTACATCTTCATAACACTTACCTTAATTTACCTCTCAGTTTACTAATCGTTGTATCTTTCCCAATTTTTTCCTAGATACAACAAGGGAACCTAGGAGTGACGAGGAAAACGGTAGAAATTATTACTTTGTTCCTCATGATGAAATGATGGCTGATATAGCTGCAAATGAATATTTAGAATATGGTTGGTATAATTATCAAGTTTTCTTTGTGATTTTTCTGAAGAATTTTTAATGATTCATCTCCATAATTTGCCTCTACTATGATTAAAATTGATTTTTAAGTATTTATTTGAAAAAATGAAACGTATTCCTGCCACCTAGCTCTCCCTTTATAACTTTTAAACATATGTATTCTATCACCTCTCTCCTCTTTAAGTTGTATTTATTCCGTAAAAATGAACCTGAATTCATGTTTTGAATGTATTTGAGATTTTAAATACATCCTCAGGATGAGAAAATTTTTGAGGCCCCTTTTGCTTCTTAGAATTGTGACATCCGCTTTAATCCCTTAGCCGTTTTTTAGTAATTTCGTAATTTTTATACAGTCGTCATTTTTGTTTTGAGATTTTTCACGGAAAATTCGAAAAGTATTAGTTCTTTGCTGATGATTTACAAACACTTAAATGAGATAGAGATCTAACTTCGATTTCATTTCAAAGAATGCAAAAAAATTACATCAAGATGCATTGCATAGGTACCTAATTATTTCACACCAAAGGAACTTATTGGAAAATTTAAATACACTCAAAATTCGTTCAGGTAAAATGTGGTGATGGAGCCTGTAAACTCTACAGTTTTCTTCTGAAGTCTCTAATCCGTAGGAAAATTGTCAAGAAATTATGTATGCAGTGTCAAATTTAAAAGAATAATTTTATTTTAGGCACATCCTAAGGTAATGATCAGAGCTCATTTCTTGAAAAAATCCAACTTATTGCACCTAAGCTCAAACATTTTTCAATTCAATCTGAATTTTACAGCTAAATAATCACCTGCATTTTTGTTTCATATCTCCTGCAATTATTGTTCACGAATGAAACCTAGAGTTTATAATTCTGCTAACTTGCTTTAAAATTCAGTATGAAAAGGAAATTCTCATTTAGGTGAGAAGAACATTCCATTTGAATTATTGAAAAATCCGTTCAAATTCTGGCACATTTTCTCACAAACTTTCAAATCTTCAAGCTTGTAATTTTGCAGACATGTAAATATGACAGTTGGTTACAACTGGAACTACAGATTTGTTGGTATGGAAGTTCATTTTGGAAAATTGAAAGTTTGGCTGATGTTTTTGCAATTTTTTGGAGCTGTATTTTAGTATGAAAAAATTAAAAAAAATATGAGTGTATAATTTCAATAACTAATTAGTTATTTTAATAACTTTAATTTACTTTTTAATAGCTAATTATATTTATAGCCCTAATGCCAAGGAAAATTTAAAAAAAAAGGTTATAAAGATTAGCACTTCTAGTTGGACGTATATATGCTAAAAGGAAATATGTTGCATGGAAACCCTATGCGCATAATTCCTTTAGCATAAATACGTCTACTTTCCGAGAGACATGCACCAGAAGGTTGAAAATAATTGTTTTCAAAATTGTGAAAAAGAAAGAAAAAAAAAAGACTCATGTACCTATCAAGATGGACCAAAATGAGCGCTCTTCATTTTTGAAAAATTGTAATTGAAAGAGTGATTGTCCAAAGTGTACGATGTTTCACATCATTTTGAAACTGAAGTACTCCATTTGAGTCGACAGAAAAAAAATATCGAATGTTTTTTTTGGGACCTGCTTCGTATCTTGAAGAGTTGAAAATTCATTCAAACTTAAAGAGATTTGCTGTTTGCTGCAACATTAGTTACCGGCAACTGTGGACTGGTCAGTCCCACCATCAGCATAGTGCAGCTTCCCAATTTTCTGCCTCAGAACTTCTTTTGCATATGGGCCAAACTTGTACAACTGCCAAAACTGAACAATATTGACCAAAATTTCACAACTTGCAATCTCATGCCTATTCAAGATTGCTTTTTATTTCTGTGGTTCTCAGGTACTCACGAGGGTGCAATGTACGGAACCAAATTAGAAACAATTCGCAAAATTCACTTAGAAGGACGAGTTGCGATTTTGGATGTCGAGCCCCAAGCCCTGAAGGTCTTACGAGTCGCTGAGTTTTCACCTTATGTTGTATTCATTGCTGCACCTCAGCTTCAGAATCTAACCGATGTGAGTTCAGCAAAGAATATTGATGTTATGAATGTGAGTTCACCCCATAATTTTCCAATGTCACTTCTCATTATTGCCAAATTATTTATTGCTATACTTTTTTACATCATTTACATTTTCCCTAGGTACATTATGCTCTTCATTTCTTTGATCACCTGAACCGTTCTCATTTCCATTTCATCCTTTTTAACCCATTGTCTTTTTAATTAATCTTAGCTAAAGATGAAAATCGATGGCTAGAGTGCGAAACAAGTATCTCCATTGCTGTGACTCAAAATCTCTGCTCCAATTTTATTTTTTTGAAAAGAAACTATTCAGCTCAAAGTTTGTACAGAATGTTCGGCCTGAGAAGAAAATTCGAGGAAGTTTCTAGGAAATTATGTTGATTAGTTTTCAAATGAATAAATAAAGTATGATTGGAAGTCTGTAACGTTGTCATTCGAAGTACATGGATTTGCATTTAGGAAACTAAAATATTAGTAACTTTGAACAATTTAAAGTAATCCTAGAACGCCTTTCCTGGGTTTGAAAAACAATACATTGGACAAAGTCAAAAACCAAGTATCCCCATTAGGACGTCTCAAAATTTTTGCTCCTGTTTTGTTTGTCCAAAGAGAAACAAGTCAATTTTATAGCTTGAAATCTATATGTAGAATAATCTACCAATGGAGAAGAAAAATAAAGAGAGTTTTCAAGAAATTATATCGACTAGTCTTCCTAAGAAAAATTTACTATGATAGGAAGTCTGCAACTTTGCAAATTTAGATACATTGTTTTGCACTTCAACTATTGATATTAAGCACTCATAATAGGCTCTTTGGGAAAAGAGGAAGAAATTTTTGTCGCAATACTATTATATTGTTAAGCAATTGCTACCAAAATTATGGAAATTTACGAATCATTTAAATTCTTTAGACATCGATGCCAAGTCGTCCAATAGGCTGAGAAACATTACTTTAAGTCAATGGGTTAAAGTGTCAGGAAGTATAAATGATATTGATTTCATGCTGGAATTGTTCCTAAAGATTTTTGAAAGAACGAAAAGTGAACATAAATACCTATATGAAACTCATTCCGAGTTGAAATTTTTTCTTAGGTGATTCTCAAAAAATTAAATTATTAAGAAGCTAACATCTTCTAAAGAGTATAGGTACCATCAAAATACGAGGCCAAAGTGTAAAAGCTGTCCCACAATGTTGGGAGTTACTTATCCTTCAATGTAGTCTCTATTGGACATGGCACAATTGGCTGAGCGTTCTTCGAATTTCAAGGAGCACCAAAAGAAGTCCTCTCTTTGGAAAGCTATCAAGATTCTCATTGTGTTTTCTTTTATGTCCTCGGTTGTTTGGAATCTGGTTCTGTTCAGCCTGATTTCAGCTTTGATAAGAGCCGAAGGTTCTAGAGTAGGTACCTAGGTACTAGATTTGGGGTATGGGGAGGGTGTGAAAGTGAAAGATGCTGAGTTTTGCTAAGAATTACTGGACGTAATAGTAGGAATGAGCTGAGAGCAATGTCCTTCTGAAGCATCCAGTCTTTGCCTGCCCACACTTTCACACTGTCGGTAGACGATGGGTGTCTGCGGGCTTGAGAAAAAAACTTCCCTGACTTTTCCTGTATTCGACACAGAAAACCAGGGTGGCGCATACATACTTTTTGGACAGACCTTGTGCTCCTTAACTGAACTCAGTCTCCGTTTAGTGCTGGTAGAAAAATACACAGTCCGATTTTAACTTCATCATAAAATTGATAAACGCAGTGCTTCCTATCTTTACCTCTTCACATCATCTGAGGTGCTATTGGGCCAAGGACACTTCTCAGTTGCAGTGTAAGAATTTCCATCATTAATTAAAGTCCTGAGGAATATAATGGGTGATTTTTCTATAGGTACAATGTTCTATAGAAAAATAAACCTTTAAATGGGGTCACTAGAAAAATTCATAATAAATTTCAATGAAACATTAGCAGAAATTCTTAATCACTGTCATTAAAAAGTGCGATTCTCCTCCTAGCATCCAGAACCTCATTTGACACCCCCTCAAATAAGTGTAACTAATGATTTTTTCTCTGTTAATGTAGTTTGATGGGAGTTTGGAACGATTGGCCAAAGAGTCAGAAGTTCTGCGACAAGCATACGGTCACCTTTTTGACCTGACAATCGTTAACAATGACATCGAGGAAACCATAATAACGCTAGAGCATGCCATCGACAGAGTGCATGCCGGACCACAATGGATTCCTGTCTCTTGGGTCTATTGACACTCCAATTCTTTTGGATTCATATACTAACTGAATTACATTCTCCTTCAATACAGTACTTAATCAAAATATAAGATTCCTAAGGCTGGAAGAAAGTAGAATTGCTCTAAGTTTGTAAGTAAATGCCAAGTAGCGGAAACATCCAATTTTCATAACAAGTGCGAACACCTATCACAGCCTAAGAGCTGTCCCAGGTAGCACAAAAAGTGGGGTGACATTTAATATGTCCAGAACATTTTTAAAACATTCAACAACTCCATTCAAATTTCTTCTAATGGTTGTCATCAGTACTTCCTGCTGTTGTCAATGAAAACCATGAATGTATGATTTTCTTTAATTGGCAGAGATCAATAAAGTTGTAATTTTACAATACGTTTAATGCGTTTTCGTTTTAAGTACACTTTCAAGACATCTCAAGAAAATTATCATAGCTAAATGGGGCTTTGCAACATCAGATCCAATCGGGAATGAGTTTTAGTTTGAATTCTGAATGCTAATGTGTTTTGAGCAATCTCAGAGATAAAAAATAGAACCACTGACTCAGATGGAATGTGTTACCAATTCTGCCAAAATTCACCACGCTGGTCTGTATAACTGTCTAAATTTAGTTGATTAAGTTTGATGATAAAAAAAAAAAAATTCCATGAAAAATAAGAGAATATTTGGGGAGGAAGGGTTGGAAGATGTCTCAAATGTGTGCTTATTTTGTAATTTATCTCAGATCATTCCAGTTTTGCTAATGAGTACGACGATTGATTCCAGTTTTCCGAGAATATTCTTGTGCTATCTGGGTTGAGAATAGATTTTATATGCGCATTTTTGTGATGCTCAAAGATTGCAAGAATATTGATGTAAACTTGCAACTTGCTTGTCTTGACCAACCAGAAAATGGAACTTACTTTTTGATTGATTGTCTGCATTGATTTTTGTTCTTCCACCAGTTACTTATCTTCTTCTTCCTCTAATTCTTAAGAATTGGACAGTGTTTAATGTTAAAAATCAACACTTCGCTGTTGCTTATGTTAAAAGAGGAAATTTTTTTTCCCTGAATTATTTTTTTATTTTTCCTTTGAATAAACCCTTGTGGCATTGGCAGTTAAATTAGGTGGACTTTAAAAATATGTTAAAGAAAATCGTTACTTAAATGTACAAGTTAGGCAATTGTTTTGTAAAGTAAAGTTTCTGTGAAGTCAACGTTAAAAGAAAGTTATGAAAAAAATTGGCATCAAAATTTTGTTGAATTCTAAAAATCACCCACATTAATGCCAGGCATAGAATTATTAGCAAAATGTGCAACATAAAAAAACCAAAGTTCCGTGTAAAATGTTTGTAGAATTTGATTGAAATTTACTCCAATGAAATGGGAAAAAAGTCTTTAAGTGCATGGTGGCACTTTCATGTGAAAAAGAACAAAACATGTTTCCCAACACAGATATACTAGCAGTTTTTTTTTTTCAGCCTGTGCTACTAGGGATGAGAGTTTCTTTTGTGTGTTCGTCCATGAAATCTTACCAGGACAAGTCAGTGTTAAAGTCTTTAAGTAATTTGCCCAAAGAATGATTACTTGATGTCTAGTGTTGTTGCAATCTCCTAATTATTATAGTTACCATTCACAAGTAAAGTAAAAAAATCCATTTCAGGGCAATAATTTAGCTGCAACCAAAACGTTTAAGAACATATTAGGGAAGTTTTGAGCTGACCTTGTAGCCGCAAGAAGGAAAACATCAAATGAAAATATATTTCTAATCATGGAAATATTCCTTCTCTTGTTTTGTCTAAAGAATATATTTTGGGTAAACTTTTTTTTATCATCCTTGTAAGCTCATTAAATGTATAAATGTCAGTTATCCGTTTCAGCTCCTCTGTTCCTTTTATTTACAAATAATTTTAATAATTAATATGAAAAGACAAAATGCCAGTATAATTTATAAGATCGTAAATAGTCGGAGGGCAGGATCAAGAGTAGGCATTTCAATAGACTCTTTCAAAGATGAGATTCATATTATTATTACCTATTTTTATTCCCCGTCATAATAGGACTGCGTTATGGTCAAGTATACCAGGGATTACATTCTAAGGTTTTGGACAGAATTGAAATTTCATTTTGAAAAGCTCATTTAAGGTCAATAGGCTCCTTGCGCATTCTGCCAAACGGAGGTTCGATGCTTAAGGCTCATAGCTTTGGCATGAACAAAAACATTACGTTCGAACTTCTAGTTTCTTAATCCAGAGTTAACCTGCGATAACAGAGATATTAAATTTCTTTGAAAACAGAGAGGAAAAATTTTATGTTGTCGCTCACTGCCATATTGCATACTATGGTTTAGTGGTTATCTTTGGATCCATCTTTCAGTGATGAGACGCTTATGCACCAGTGCTGTCACAGCCAGTGCTGAGAAGCAAGGGTAAAATAAAGCATAGTACCTATGCACCATTGCTGTGGATGATGGCATTCACCGTTTTGTTGGGGCAATATTTCCTCTTACATTAAGTGAAGAAACTTGGTGTTGGCATAGATCTTATAACTTGATGCTGCTTCATGTTGTGTGATCAGAAACAGAATCTCATCTGCCCTTCCCTCCATTTTTTCTCAGAAAAATGATCCCAAAAAAAAATTTAATGTAACTTACTCTTCGAGACATTGGTCAAATAATCCTCTCCAAATTTGGAAATTTTTTTTCAAAGATTTGTAACTCAAACACGGATAAACTGGAGATACATGAAGCAATTTTTAAAATAGTTTTGTTCTAATAATTTACGGAGGTGGGGAAGAAACTGCCGACAAAAATTTAGCTTACCTACAATAATAATACTATGGTGGGAGATGGATTGTATTCTATTTATTAACGAAATTAATAACTTGTTTCAATTAACTACGAAGTTAATCGTACTAGAGAAAATCGTTTTTGAATAAAATTTTCCATTCTTTCAGCTTTTTCATTTTATATCATTACGGAGGAAAGCTTCACTAGGTATTGTACAGGAGTTAACCTCCTCTTTCGATGTAGACATCTTTCAGCTTATTAATTACCTAGATCAAGACGTTCAACATATTTTATTAGCTCAAGATTTCAGGTTACTTAATCTGAATGAAATGTTATTCTTAAATCGACATTTTCTCTTCTCTTGCATATTTTACCAGCAATTTGTTTTTAAAACATCTTTTCTCTAGTTTTCAGTCTTAGAACAATTTAAACCAAAGAGTCCTTGAAATTTTGATTAATTGAGTCGTTTCCCTTTTTTAGAATAGATCGCAAATCATTACCATCAAAAATATAGAAATTGATTAATTAGTAATTAAAAATCTAGTTAACAAATTTATCTTGTAAAAATCAAATGTTAATTATTGTAATGTATACAGTAAGATAATTGTAAATAAAAGTATTTGATTACGTGGTTATTTTATGAATGAAAGATTTTGTTTAAATTTGTTGCAATATTATCTGTATGTACAATAACTTTTTCCTTCAGAAAGTGATGGAAGCATTACCTAGGCAATATGTTCAAATTTTTATTTGTAAAAAAAGTGACTTAATCTTGTACAGAATAAAACTGTATCTATCTACTGAATTGTGGTTTGTAATTTTAAAATCCTTGATGACACCTCGTCATTTTTTCATTTATTTTCCTTGGAAGATAGACGTAAAATGGACTGACTTTTTAGCATCAAAATCGAAACGTCCTCCGATTGTGCTGAAACCGAGCCAGTTCCTTTGGAAATGACCTGCTGAGTCCGATTTTTCAGTCCAACAAGCTCCACAAATCTGCAGGATTGCGCAAGTGGCAAAGTATCGCTAACTGAAAAAGCCATTAATGTTTCTCGTTCTAACCGTTAATTTAGGAGATATTCACAATTCACAAGTTTCGGTCTCAAAAATGGATCCAGGTTCATGCTGAAGTAGCAAAGAATGCAGTAAATTGCAATTGCATAGTAAAATTATTTCCATTAGATTGGAGTGTTGGTTACGTTGCCTATCAATCTATTGAAGGGACACCTCTCATTGAATTTTATTGGAATAAACTTGAAAATAATTGCAAATTTTGTTAGCATTACACATTACCTATCATTCTAGTAAATTGAGCTCATCTTGTTGATCATTTAAAATTGACACTCAATGAGGAAGTGAGATGTATAAAAAAAATTTCCATATTAGAGCATCAAAGCGAAATTTTATGTGAAGACATTCATTGCACTGTGTGTGCTACTTGGGTAGCAATTCTACCAAGAATCAAAACTTTTGGCATGAAGCTTTTCTGTAGAGCTTGTTAAAAGCCATGGAATTAAAAATTTAATCGGATAATGCAACATCAAATATCTTGAGAGTGTCATTTCTGACTATGGTATATTTGAACTCCGCTTCTGAGCTTGGCTGCAGCAATGCGTGCCTTGTCTTGCATTATGAGCGGCTGTGCCTTTGTGGGAATCAAATTCTGTACGACGATTTCGAAGTGAATACCTTAGCATAATTGGCTTAGAATATGTGGACTTTGGAACAGAAAGTAATTTTTAGCTCATAAGTCAACCTTGAAACTGCCAACTTTATCTCTACAGTTTGTTTGACTATGACTTCAGGAAGGTGACCAAACCAGTAATACTGCTATGTTCTAAAACATTGTAAATATGAATAATTTTGGGGATTTCAATTCCAGGCAAGAGATTCAGTTCAAGTAAGGATGATTTCTGAGAATTGAAAGAATACTTTGTATACTCTATCACAAAAGTTTTATTCCATATAATTCATATATTTGAACAATAATAAGAACTCATATAATTACAAAAAAGTACATATCTTAAAAAAGCCAACAAAAAATGAATACAAAAATAGATGACTAAAATAATGAACAACTTAATCAATGAATCAACATTCTCCATTCGACATTCTAGACAAAGTAAGTCGTCTCTTTCAGGCGAACGGAAAGGGGGGGGGGGGTCGTAACATACTTCACTGATCCCTTCAACTTTTTTCTTGGGTGTTCCCGAGATTCTCATGTTTTATGTCTTAGCCGTGATTAGCTCACTATTAGTAAAAGTATTTGTTTCTTTCGCAAAATCAAACGAGTTAAATTTGTTTTTTCTCCAGTTTTCTTTCAATTTTCTGGTTCTTTAAATGTGCGTGCCCTAATCCTAACCTCAAAATCATGGATCATACTAAATCACCAAATTTGCTGAAACTCAAGATAAATGAATTGCGTGATCTCTGCCTGAACAACCACCTTGATAGCAAAGGCACAAAACTGCAATTCGTGGACAAATTAGTTCAAATAAATATTCCTACCCCTAACTGTTTAATTGATAGGATAGTGCAAAAGACTGAGAATTCTCAAAGGTTTTATACTACCCGGAGTTACAGGAAAATCTACTGTCCCCAAGTTTAATTATGGAGAAAGATGAAAAAGTTTTCTTTGCCAAGAGAGGTGTCAAAATATTGAAAAATGGTAAAACAATTTTGAAAGGTAAACTAGAATCTAGTGAAGAAGAGTGTTGTGTAGTCATCTAGTGTTTGAAGTTGCTGATTTTTACAGTTTTCTGCATACCAGCAATGAAAAACTAGTTATGAGTGCGAGGAGCACAAAGATTATGAGATTAGGCCAGCTTGGAACTCGCAACGCCAGATACCCTAGGCCAACATTGAAGTTGACCCAGATTTAGCAAACGACAGACAGTGGATGGAAAGTAACACTGCTCCTTGGGCCAAAGTAACAGAAGTCAATGATAAAACCTATGAATTGCAACTTCAGTTTTTTATATGTAGAAAACGGAGCCTCTATTTGTGATATGCACCACATGTAGAGCCAGAAGGATACACTTTGATTGACAGAGACCTGACCTGAGACCATGAGACCTGAGACCATGAGACCTGAGACCATCTGCCCTGACACTGATGTGATGATACGGCCTTAGCGACACGGGAAAGCATGGGATCGGGGACCGGTCACCACCGTGGCTAAAACAATGCATACCAGAGCGACGAGGATGCCCACAGCACGACCGGACAGGAGAGAGAGAGACAAATGGTCACTCGCCGTACCGGGCCAAACCATTCAAAATCCCTCTTGCGGCCACCTGAGTTTTTTTTATGGGCCGTTATCACTGTCCCGCTGGACCGCGCATCCTCGCTCCCGAAACCACGGGGGGAGAGGTTTTAGGCTCTTTAGAGCTACGGGGTCCACACTGGTCAGCCCAGACTGACCAGTCAAAAACCGCGCCTTTGCGGGGGCCCCAAATCAGCCACTCGACCAGGGTCCAACCTGCCTGGTCCACGACCCCAGCGATCCCGAAGTTGCAACGCCGTGTCGCAGCATCCCTCTCTCCCGACCTAGGACAACCAATGGCCAACTTTGGGGGTTGTCCGGCGAAAATGGCAAAAGGGAGGACGATAGGAGTCCGGGGCCTTCCCGAGGGAGGAGGCCACGGCACTCTGATCGCGACTCTCGCAGAGGACAGATTTTCTTTTCTGGAGACTTGCCCCGACTATCGATTTCATTCTGCCCCATTTTTTTTTGATCTTGATATTTTTCCTGAGTTCCTGATTTTGTCACTGTTTTTTTTCTGTATTTCCTGAGTTATTCTTATTTTTTATTGCCGTCGTTATATTTTTTTTTTCACGTATTACATTCTTATCTACCACATCTCCGGACTTATATTTTCTTCCATCACTCCCCCCGATTTCTGCCCATTGCCATCATAAATTTGGTGTCAGGTGTGGGGTGATTAAACGTAATAATCACCCAGCGGCGAACTCGTGCCCGCCTGCGCCTTAGTGCTACCGCGCCGCGATCCATCTTTCAAGACTGATTGAAGCGCTCCGGCTGAAGAAAGTTCTAACATCAAGCAACCAAGCCAACCTGACGATCAAAGGACCTGCGAACAACAAGGAGAACGCCAAGCCGCTCGGACGGACTCCTGGTACGACCTTCAGCAGGATGATCTTCAACTTACGCCTGATACTTATTTTAGTTGTGGCATGGATGGACAGAGCAGCATCGTCAGATAAACAATCCGTCTTCAATGTGACAGAAGGACGGACAAATCCAGGGCTACTGTTCAAAAATGCGTTTCAATTCAAACTAATACAGGACCATTGGACTTTAGTTTCCGAAATCTCGACGGAACACCTCTATGACCAGGCAGACAAAGCCAAAACATTGTTTCACTCCTTAGAGGAAATAAGAAATAAGTACGAAACGTCCAGCGTCTCAAGCACGGATCTGGGCAACATAGGAACGGAAATTATAAAGCTCCACGCGGGGTTGATAGCACTAAAGTCATTATTGTCAGGAGATGGTAAACCTGAACACAGAGAAAAGAGGAATATTATCGTAGAGAGTGCCAGATGGTTGCCAATTTTCGAATCGTTACTACCAAAACCTGAGATAGGAATTAGTCACAGGAAACCCGGAACTAAGTTCGTAGAATATTCATTGACTAGTAATTTTTCGGGAAAAGAGGAAGTACAAAAACGCGGTAAGAGAGTCAGAAAAGGAATTTTCAACTCGTTAGGAACGGCCATAAAACTCATTTCAGGTAATTTAGACGCAGCTAACGGAGAATACTTCGAGGAAAAATTGAAAGAAATTAGTGCAGGTACCCATGATATTTACAGTCTGGCAGCACAGCAGACCACGCTCATGTCAGCGACAATGCATTCTTTGAATGGTACTTTAGTAGATTGGGAAGAAAACAGAATTAGAATAGAGGAGGCAATAGGTAATATCACAGCAATGGAGCGTGGACTTAGCCACGACGTCGCGAACGTTTTCGATCAACTTCAGGTTATCCAGACAGAGACGGAAGCTCACAACATTCTAACAGAGTTAATTACGTCTGCGAAGGATAACATGCAATTGATACTGAAGACATTCGAGGACGCAAGGCAGGGAAAGATAAATCCCTTAGTTTTATCACCTGAACGTTTAATTCCGGAACTCAGAAAAATCAAACTTCCAGCTGGATTAGCTTTCCCAATCGAACCCACAAATGCAGGTTTTCACTACTTTTATGACATCGTTGACGTTTCGGCTTTCACAGTGGGAGGAAATCTCACATTGATAATTAAGGTCCCACTAGTAGACTCCGAAACGTACACGATGAACGAGGTTACTCAGTTCCCTTATGAATCGCCCTATAACATTGGAACCTACATTTTTATTAAACCAGACAGCGAATTTATAGGATTATCTAACCAGGATTTACACTATGTTCTGTTCTCGCGAGAGGAACAGAAACTATGTAAACGAATCAGCAACGGCCGACTATGCCCTCTAGGATCGATTGTCCATGACTTCCACAGTCACAAAGAAAGCTGCACAGTAGGAATTTTTAAAAACAGAATGTCAATCGGCTCAGAATGCGACCTACGCGTAGTAGAATTAAAAAGACCTCTGTGGATTAGAGCCCCAACTCTGAACCTATGGCTCTTCGTGATTCCGGCACCTGAATCTGGTATAATCACGTGTAGAGACGGCTTTCTCACTACGGGCAACGCAATAAAAGTACCACTGTCAGGAAGAGGATTCCTCAGCTTAAAAGGGGGCTGTATGTATTTGTCAGACAGCGCCCAACTCAGAGGAGTCGGGAAGTATAAATCCGCCATTGAAGTACAAAGACCAATAATCCCCTTGACCTCAATTTCACTACCCACTCTCGTGGAAGAGACAATGGCTAGAGTAAGACCGGCGGAAATTAACATAAGTTCCCATTTACTCCCCATGAATATCCACCTCCACGAAGTCGTGGAGACGGGCAGAAAAATAAGCGAAATTAAAAATTTACTGGACGCAGCAGAAATCAACAGGCTCCAGACGAGCCACGATAACCGCCATGTTGCTTACATTTCCCTATTCTCAGTCTTATTATTATTAATTTTAACATATTTCTGCCGCAAACACATAATTAAGGGGGGAAGAGGAATATTGAGTATATGGTGGCCTTTAAAACAAACACAAAAACCAGAAGTGATATACCAACACGTCCCCTTAGGATCAATTAGGATTAGGCGTCCCGAATCAGAAACCATAAGCGCGCCGGCTACAAACTCCACAAACACCAGCGGAGGAGACGAAGAAGAAGAAGACGAAAAAACGCAATGTGAGGCAGAAACAACAGAATTCCGGCACTCGCGTATCCCCGAAGAATGGAAAAGAAACAAGGCCGCGATCTAATTTAAAGAATTAACTCCCTCGGTTACCTGAATGCATCCTCTGCGCAACGCCGCCAAGTCTCCTTCTAACAGTTATTCATTCTCCATTCTCCATGGACATGTGTTTTATTTCTTCTTACATGTGGTAAAGTCTGAGAGGGAGAGAGTGATGTTTCCCGAGGAGTCTTCCTACAGGAAAGATCTCTTGTTCTTTGAATGTACAATATTAACTGAGTCTATATGCTTTAACTAAGAAATCCAAAAATTAATTGATTTTTTTTTATAAATTTTTTTTTCCCTTTATGTTTAGAAATAAGTAAGAAACACATAAATTAATAGATTTCATTATTTTCATATGTTTAGGAATAAGTGAAAAAAACAGAATGGAAGCAAACAGGAACGAGTCTAAAGTAATGACTCGCCTAGAAAAACTTTTCTTAAAAAGAAATAAACTTGAACCGCGTCAATTAATCGAAGCGTTCGAGAACATTATCTATGGAAAGTACGAAACACCACAAGATAACGAATTGGCGAGTGACATTTTTTCTTGGTACGAAGATCCGTTCCCAAGAGACGATGAAGAAGAGAGAGCCGAAATCGAGGCCCTAAAAATACAAGCGTTCCTAAAGAACCTTGTATCGGGATTAGATGACGGCTATTTCACATCAGACGAAGAGGAGGAGTAAATAGTAAATGGGCTCTCCATCGCAAGTTACCTAGTCGTTACACGTGTTAAATGTGAAAAACTGCTCAATCGTTTCCTTCCAATGTTCCGTATTAGTAGTTAGCCTGTATACATAATCAAATAATAGTAATTTACTTAATATTTTCGTATGCCCAATAATCCCAAATAATCAAAGTTTTACTTATTTTACGTTTGTAATGACAGTAATCTAATATTTCTAATTGATCTTGATATTTTTCCTGAGTTCCTGATTTTGTCACTGTTTTTTTTCTGTATTTCCTGAGTTTTTCTTATTTTTTGTTGCCGTCGTTATATTTTTTTTTTCACGTATTACATTCTTATCTACCACATCTCCGGACTTATATTTTCTTTCATCACTCCCCCCGATTTCTCCCCATTTCCATCACAGGAAGATGGGACTGAAGAGTCCGATCCCACTTTGGCTCCGGAAGAAAGAGGCATAGACCTAGGAGCTTTGAGCCGAAATTTTTTTGTGTGCGTCTTCAAGTATTTAAAGGATGATTCGCAACTTTTTCGGGGTCCGATGATGAAAAGCACTTGAATTATTACGGCCCGGCGGCCATTGGAACGTGCAATGACTATGAATTGGTTGGCAGAATCATGGCAATGTCTGTAATTCAAAAAGGCCCAGGGCCCAACTTCTTTTCCGCAGCTTTGTATAATGCTGTGATAACAGGACAGTGATAGGACTGTAAATAAGAAAGAGGATGTTGTCGAACTCAATGAGAGATAAATACAATCCTAGGTCCAGGGAAATTTTGAAATCTGAACTGAAAGTGTTACGCAGCAACGACCAATCAGATCACTACCGAAAAATGCTGCACTAAATCTTCGCCTTCACAGCAGCTGGGTGTTTCACCTTCTAAGGTCAGAGAAGGAGCAATTCTACAAAATTAGGATTCCTGTCGTTGACGTCTTTGAAGGGATTGATGGAAGAACTTCTAAATGAAGAGTATGGAGTTCAACCTTTGATTTTTCTGCTTTTCATAAATGACGTAGCCCCTTACATTACTAAAAAACCATTGGACTTAATTATTTCTCTTCTCAAAATAATCCAGTTTGCCAACGATATGCTACTGATTCTGAGTAATAAGGACCTAAATGATTTGGAGGTTGAGGCTTACATTGTATTAAATTTATTTGCTCAGTGGTGTGCAATAAACCTTCTCAATATGAACCTTTGTAAAACAAATTATATGTTATGCAACTGAAAATTAGCTACGTTTAATATCTTTATCGACAATCATGAAATCAACAGGGTAGATCTACTCAAGTATCTAGGTCTCCTTATGGATGATAAAATTACCTTTAAACCTCACATTAAAGCTTTAAGTGGCAGGTTAAATGCATCATCATCTGTCTTAAGATCCCTTTCAAAGTTTTGTGTTACTAGAATAATGTTGGCAGTGTACCATGCTCTTATTATGTACCATATACTGCCCTATACTGTCATACTGCCTAGCCAGTAGGACTTCCTGCAGTAAAAAGAACATTGATAAGATTTTTAAAAATCCAAAGAAAGCCCTGAGATTAGTTTCTGGGCTCCAAAAAGACGAATCATGCAAATCCCCTTGTAATGTATTTCTGTGATGGAAAGAACTACAGATTTGAGTATTTACACAAAAAACTCATTGAGAACAATATTTTGTGTTAATTCATGGCAAAATTGTCACAGCGACATGACATTTTTTAAAGATAATGCTTTGTTAACATTGCCGGCCCTGAGGAGACATCTAAATCTTGGGCCCTACAATCTGCCAGTAAAATCTAATGAGAGATCAATCCTTCTCATTATTTTTAAACAGAGTTTTGATCACACAAATCTCTCTTAGCAAAAGTCTTTAGAAACTCAGTGTACTGTGAACTTTTTTTTCAAACTTTTTTTTCTCAATGTTGTTCGTGTTGTATATCTATCAGTCGTGAATTTAGTATGTCCCATTTTTGATATTCAAAATACACTCAGTGTAAAGTATTATTTGCATAATACTGCTAATATGTATAACCTACTTCAGTGCAAGGAGAGATGATTTAAATTTTCGGTTGGTTTAAAATGTCAGACACTTCTGTGAGGGCAAGAACTACCTACAGATTTGAGTATTTTCACAAAATCCTCATTGAGAACAATATTTTGTGTTAATTCATGGCAAAATTGTCACAGAGACATGATAAGGGCAAAACTTTGCATGCACAATTGAAAAAGTAAATTTTACCTTAATAGCACAACAATCACAGTTAGCCAGGTAAAACAGCAAGACTGCAGAAACTCTTATCTCGGTTTGCAACATTGCAGCCTTCCTGTCATACTCTATTTTCTTATTAGATAAGCATTCAACAAAGTATTTCCAGAGAACCGCGGCAATTTTTCTTCCCTGGGTGAAGAATATTCACTAAAAATTTCAAACCACGATCTTTGTTCATCCTTCTATTAAAAAAACTACATACATCAGAACGAAGATTTTTAAAAACCAGAGACAAGATATGTGTTTTGGCAGTTTCACTGTTATTTCTAGGTTTGATAATCTACAGACCACCATATACTGGATCGGTATAAAAATTTTGGCAAAATTATCCATCACATGAGTTTACTAACTTTTGGTTTGGTGCTTAAAAATATATTCATTAAAAATTAAAAGTATCGAGAACACTCTGACTGGACTTAAAATTAAGAGGTTATTGTTCATTGTTAAAGATATTGACGATCTTGTCGATGATAATAACAAATCCTGTGAATTCTCCCTTAAAAACTTCAATTATGAAACCAACAAATGAAATTTAATTTTGGCTGGAATTATATAGCTGCTTTTGACTCCAATCATCATTGGCGACTTCATTTATACCAAAGATTGGTAGATTCTGGTTTTCCTCATCTAAATCAATCAGCACAAGTAAGTTTTTGTTGCTTGAAAAGGCATTTTTCATCAATGGAGGTCATAATGCTCAAAATAGAATTCAGCATGAACTCGTAGCAAAGCTAAATGGATGGTTGCCTCCGCCATAGCTCGAAGCCCTGTCGGGTCCGTAGAAAACAAGTGGCCTACTGATCATACCTGACGGATACTCGCCAATCCACCCCTGACTTTTCCCTGACTTTCCAATATTTTTCCCTGACTTTTAAGTATGGATCTGACGCAGTCTGTTAAAGTGAAAATGAGTCAGTTGATCCCGCAACGAGAGCCCGAAACCGCCCGCGCCTAATTCCACGAAAAATCAGAAAAATCCCTGACCAACATCGAAATTCCCTGACTTTCCCCGGTTGATTTTTTTTCCCTGACTTTTCCCGGTCGCTGGCAACCCTGTTCGCTGAGAGCTTTTTGGCTGAGATGAAGCATGAAAGCATGTGTCAGTCTGTGATGCTTAAAGGGGCATGTTTCATCAATGGAAATCATAATGCTCAGAATAGAATTCAGCATCAACCCGTGGCACCGCTGAATGGATGGTTGCTTCCACCATAGCTCGGAGCCCTGTCGGGTCCGTAGAAAACGAGTGGCCTACCCATCATATCTGACGGATACTCGCCAATCCACCTCTCTGAACATTTTTCTCTGGAGATGACAGGCTCCGCTGAGAGCTTTTTGGCTGAGATGAAGCATGAAAGCGTGTGTGCGCAGAATAGAATTCAGCATCAACTCAAGGCACAGCTGAATGGATGGTTGCTTCCGCCATAGCTTGGAGCCCTGTCGGGTCCGTAGAAAACGAGTGGCCTACCCATCATATCTGACGGATACTCGCCAATCCACCTCTCTGAACATTTTTCTCTGGAGATGACAGGCTCCGCTGAGAGCTTTTTGGCTGAGATGAAGCATGAAAGCGTGTGTGCGCAGAATAGAATTCAGCATCAACTCAAGGCACAGCTGAATGGATGGTTGCTTCCACCATAGCTTGGAGCCCTGTCGGGTCCGTGGAAAACGAGTGGCCTACCCATCATATCTGACGGATACTCGCCAATTCACCTCTCTGAACATTTTCCCCTGGAGATGACAGGCTCCGCTAAGAGCTTTTTGGCTGAGATGAAGCATGAAAGCATGTGTCAGTCTGTGATGCTTAAAGGGGCATGTTTCATTAATAGAAGTCATAATGCTCAGAATAGAATTCAGCATCAACTCAAGGCACTGCTAAATCGATGGTTGCCTCCACCATAGCTCGGAGCCCTGTCAGGTCCGTAGAAAACGAGTGGCCTACCCATCATATCTGATAAAGTTGGACTCCATACAACTCATACAAGTTGGAGTTGATGCAGACAGCATAAACCCCAAGAACTGTTTTTAAACATTGATTAAGAAACACTTATGTACACTTTATGAGATAATAGGATAATAAATTTAAAACATTTACTATTTATGTACAAGTATAAGTATGTAAAATAATTGTATTGTAATTTTATGTTATTTGTTCTTATTATTTAATTTTCCTTTCTTTTGGGAATTATAACCTACTTCTGTTTTTACCCTGGAATAAGGGTTTCTTTTTTTATTTACATGGTACAGATTATGGCGGCAGTAGCGCCCCAATAAAATTCTGCAGTTTTTGTTACATATATTTAGAACCTGATAAATGCCAGCAGTCAACCCTTACAGCACTTCTTAACTTCACTGGGGAAGAGATACTGCATTATTTTCCTGAAGGGGAGGGTCGTTTGCTATCACCTTTAGTAGTGGTTGTGTTTTTCGCTCGCCCCTCAGCCGGGCACCGGTCTTTCATGCTATGTCATGCGAAGACTTCCTAGCGGCCGGCACCCTGTCCCTCCAGCCACTTCATTTTTCCTCATATTTGCAGGGCATAGCAACCCCTCCCCCCATCATTTCCCTTCTTTTAGAGGGAACAATTGGCATCAACGAACTCGGTAAATGAATTAAAAAATTGGTCGCATACTCATTTGCACTTCAATTTTTCTAAACTTTGTAGAATGGACATTCTCCTCAGTCTGCTTGGAAACAGTTTACACCCGTCTAAGGGCTAATCCAGAACCGAAGCTTGGAGGTTCTCTTGTTTGTACTTGTCTCTTGAACTTTTAGCATCTGATACAAATGTCAGTTTGATTTGTCTCCACTTGATAGTAAACTGGGAAAAATGTGAGAGGTGCCTTTTCACTATGCTTCATGAGCTTCATGCTTAAGTCCACAATTGTGCAGTGCTCACCTGCGATTCATCATACGGGGGGGGGGCCTCTGTTAAGGAAAAAATTCCGCTGTTTAATGATTTGTTTTGGTTGATATAAGATGGAATAATGTGATCCTCCAGATACTTAAAAAGTCTTAAACTATTCAATTTTGAAAGATGGCTGGAATGAATGGTGAAATCTAGCAGTATCCAATCTTCATTAAATTTAGACAACAAAAGAGGAAGTCGCTGATGATGGTTGAAGGTGAGAGCAGCAAAAATGCATCAGCCAAAATCAATTTCTATGAATGTGCACTGAATACTTTTTGGGGAGTTTCTCTAAAGTATTCACATGTTTGTGCATTACCTCCTCTTTGTTACTATTCAATTCAACATCTCTGCATTCATGTAAAAGTAGAACATGTCAGAGTATAAAAGCAATTTTGATTGATTAGTGCAAATGAAAGAAAGTGCCAAACCAAAGGGGGAAGAACTCAAGTGACTGAAAATTCAAGTTATTAATCTGACCTAAATTGTTTACAACTCAAACAAAGCACAAACAGTATGAGCACAGGCACATGTTTAATCCCAGAGTGAAATCTTCACAAAAATTCATGGGTTATGAGTACCTTTTACGGGGCTCTACAAGGAGACATTCCATCAACCATCATAGTTTTAGTTTCCAACTAAAAACCTCCGAATCCTCTTCATACTAAAAAGTAATGCAGTAAGCATGTTCTTTTGAACGCAAGTTTGAAGTTATCACATCAGAATAAGGCACAAAGATCAAACCTCTTTCAACGGCACCAACAAGCGATGAGAATAGCGACTACACTGACTAGAAGAATATTTCTTGTTGACTCATAGTAATCAGCAACGACTTCTTTCATTTTATCACTTTCAGCTACTGAGCTTTTGAAGAGTGGTGTCAGAGAGTTGATGATGTCAGGTCCAATCTTTGGAGGTGGGGGCTGATCCATTACGGCTACTTTTAAATCCGAGAGCTGAAAGTAATATAATCAGTATTGGAATTGGATTGAGTTGAGCAAATCAGTGATATTTACACTAACAGTATTAGAAAGGTACCTATTAGCAATATAGTAGGACTAGTGACACATGCTAGAGAAGCATATTGATTTGAAAGGGAACGATGACCATGAGAAGCTTGGGAATTAGATACGCGATCCTCACAAAAATGACATTCAAAATTGTCGGAAGAAAAACATCTTTGTGTTCAAGCCCACACAAGAGGCTATTTCAATCTACTTGAATGGTCTATACTTCAGGACTTTTTGTAAAGAATCATACCGTTCCTGACTTCCATAAGACTGAATTAATAATGTACCATATATCTGAGAACAAAAATTTTAATGGGAGAGCTTGATTTTTGGGAAAAAATCTGATCATTTCAGGCAAGACTAAACTAATAATGAAAAATATGAGGGTCATTCTTGAAACTAGTGCTAAAAATCCAAACAGACTCTATTCTCAACTTTGTAGGGAAATAAAAAAAATAATTTCAAAACCAGTGCAATTGCAATTCCCACAATTTATGAATTTGTTTGCTGCATTTACCTGTTAAAGAAGTCAGAATAGCGCTGGGTATTTTTCAGAAGCTAATGGGGCCACTTCAATTATTCTACACAAGTAAATACATAATCTTGTCACATGAGTCATATCATACTTGACTCATTGTGTGGAAATTGCAGCTCTGTGGAAATTGCAGCTTCACTCCCAAAAATTTAGGCAAAAAGTTCTAGGAAATTGGAATAAATGCCTAATTCAATATGTAGAAAATCAAGGGCTCAAAAAATCAAACTTCTATGGTGCCAACCGATGATAGTGTTGACATTTTGTTTGAAACAATCTAAAATCCAGAGCTTCAGGTAAATAACATTTGCAAACTTAAATATAATTGATCTACTAAGACTTATTTTGTGGTAGGTGATAAGCAAAGTTAAAAGGAAACACACCCGTACAATAAACTTGGAGACTAAATTAGACCAAAAAATAGAAAAAAGAAAATTGAAAAAAACTCACAAGTTTCTTGATTTCTTTCATCCTAGCGTGACCATTTATTGTGCTAGCCACTAGACCTATAAGGGTACCCATGACTGAGGCAATTAAAGACCAGTATTTTGTTCGCATTGCTTGAGATCTTTCCTTTTCATGTGAGTCCTTCACGGCACATGATAGAATAGTGAAGGTTTCTCTTTCTCGATTTTCACAATCATTGAAGTTTTCCACCAGTTTTTGTTCTTCCTGTAACATTTCATGCTCTTTCGTGACAAGAAGCAGGTACCTATGAAAATAAATCAAGAGTGAATACAAGGGAGGAGAAAAAATGATCATCAAACATGTAGCTGCTAAGAAAGGGATCTTGAGCAAATTCCTTCCTATTTAGAGGCACATGGAAAAACGGCACAGTGATTACATTATTTGCAGTTAGCAAATAATTAAATAACGTAGTAAATTTAGTAATAAATGTTGCATTTGATCCAGTGATTGACCTCTGTTACAAATGTAACTTTTCTTTTTTAGACATTATCTACTATCATTTTGCAATTTTTTGATTAATAATGATTCTCGGGGCCCATGCAAGGCTATCATGGTCTAAAAAATTAATATCTGCCAAGATTTGTTAGTTTAAATCAGTCATGCAATATATCGCATGCTAGTTTGAACATGCCAAAAACTTAAGACAAATCTAATCCCAAATGAATTTAATTTATTCAGGAAATTCTATGCTCCGATAAGGGTGAATACCTACACCAAAAATCTGACTGAAAAAAAAATTGGTGATTGACTTGCCACATCGTTCCATTACATTGCTGTCCTGTGCTAAAAATGTAAACAGGCACATAACACCTGCGTGATCACTAGATGCTTCTGCTGGAGGCATCAGGTCAATTGCTGGTTACCCAATGACCGTTAAAAGTTTGACGGTCATTCTTGAAAATGTGATAACTTCTCCCTAATTACCTAATGACTGTCATGGCAGGTCATCGCTGAACGCAATCACACAGCACTTTTCAAAGATGCTAGGCAAGGCCACTCAGCATTGAGATAACTTCAATAAATTTACTAAACAGTTACATGACGGTCACAGACTGTCAGTTGATGCTATATCTTTGTTGTCTCCAGAGAATGCATCTACTATTTGTGCCTTGATAAGTAATGATTAATTGCGTCACATTGCTCCTTAACATCCAACTTTCTTATGTTTGATAGGTTCCCTACATCACTAAAAAATTGACAGACTCAAAATTAGAACTACAGGTTGTGTTACAGTGTTAGCACTTGAACCATCAAAAACCAATGAGTTAAATGCTGCAAAAATGACAAGCCGCCAAACCAGTCTGATAATGCATTCAGGGTACAGTTGATGTCTTCAAATTCTAATCATTGATGGCTTATTTTGGAAAGCTCGGACTTTCAGTCTATAGCGATATTGCGATGGGAGGAATTATCATGCCAAGAATCATCTTCAAAATCTAAAAATAAGGTCACAAGTGTTGTTTTCAATTGACCATCAGTGGCGATAAATTGAAATTGGCTGCAAGCTGGAAAAAGGGGATGCTTTAAGGCACAAAAATAGTTAATTGATTGATCAATAGACTGAAATTTCAATTTTCCTAGGTTAATTTCTCATCAATTAGAATTTAAAATGCATCAGTCGTTCTTAATATGTATTGCATTAAAGCTGAATCCACCGTAAGCTTGCCGTCTGAGGTCTCCAGATACTGGAATTTTTCCTCTGAAAATTTTATTGATCTTCATTGGAGATGTTTCATGAGTCAAGTTCATTGTCTTAAACTCTAAACAAAAGGTGATACAAGCAAGACATTGGCCTGACAAAGTTTCTCGAAGGATTCACAAACCTTTTCTCACCACGGGTAGTTGTGTCAATTTCTTCACGCAAATCTTTTAAGCTTCTCTGCATAGACGTAAGCTCTTTGTGGGCCTCCCTTCGTTTCGACTGAGCTTCAACGAACTCCATCTCAGCCTCAAGGACTTTGTTCTGGGCGCTACGAACCTCGTCCATCCCAGAAATCTTATCGTACCAAGAGATAACTTCAATTACTCTGGAGTTCAAAGCAGCACCTGCTTGTGTATTGGACCTAATATTTTCCACTTTCTGAACTAAGGACTGCTTGAGATGGGAGGTTTCAATGGGTTTTAGGCTGAGAGCTTTCCATGAATTCTTGATATTGCCATTTGCACCCATGATCAGTTTCTTGATGTTACTCATGGTCGTGCGGGAAAATAATTCGAGGTGTGTGAAAAAGGCGAACTAAAAACTGAAAAGGCAGCTATTCTTCGAGTGATAAATTGATGCCAAGTTGTTGAGATTGCAATCACACTTCAAGAGCACTTTTCCACTTATCACTTTTCACTAAAATTATCATGGAGAAGGAAGTGAGGTTAGGTTAGGCTTCCTAGCGTGCGCGGGTTTTTTTAGCCAATCAAACTGCATCTTAGATTGTAGCCAATCATAGAGACCAACCGAGAAATTTCTATTTCCCGCCAAGTTTTAAAATGACGGGCTTTTTTTTAAAAATTGGCGCGAATGCGTAAAACACCGCATTTGCATTCGTTTCCATCCCTCGAACTGTCATGAGTGACTGAGTGGGCGGGGGATCTGCCTCTGAGTAGACCTAAGTCTCTAGACCTACCAACCTAAGTAGGTGTTGTAGGTGAATAGAATTTCGCCGTTCTCTGTAGTTATTTATTTTAAATACTGGGGATGAATGTGCTTTGTTATTTATTTCCTTTTTAATACCTGTGCCAACTTTTTGAAATGAAATTAGCGGAATCGAGCACACTGTTGACTGAAAGATGGATGGTTCTCCAGAACCAACAGCCGATGTGTAAACCTATTGACAGATGTGTTGCCCACAACTGTTAATAGGTTTGCACATGTTCTATGCTGAAATCGTCCGATTTCAGTCATGAACATTTTATTCACAAAACGTGTGTTGAAATATGTCACATTTTGCTTGGGGAAAATAAGTGTTTTTGGTGTGGGGGCAATGGCGATTGGGCGTCGCAGAGCGCGAGGCGGCGCTATAAAAGCGGCTTTATGTATGGATGTAAATAAGTGTTTTTTGAATTCTGATCACTAAAATTGTGTAGGTATAGTAAGCTGTATTTTCAGCTTTTACTGATTAAAATGTCACGACCATTACTGTCATGATTGTTAGCATGAAGTTAGCATAGGTACTAATCCGAACAATCAATGGGACAAAAAAAAGTTATAAAACTGCATTGTAGTCCAGTCAATCTAGCATTTTTCTGGGAAAATCTATATATAGAAGGTTGATATATAGAAGGTATGATGCAATGTGTGAAGTATTCATGCAGTCTTGTAGGCGCTAATATGTGTTACATACCGATCGCCGCGCCGAGGGCTTCTCCTTTTCATCTCAAGTCCTCGTTATCATTTCTCTCTAAGTCGCGCCGTTTCAGGCCAAATTGCGTGTTATGTTTCTCTCTTAACTCGACTAATTAAAGGTGCTGTCTCTTGTATCAATAAGAGACGACAAAATTAGAAATTACTGTACTCTCAGGAAATGAGGGATTTTGTCACCTTTTCTCGTTTGTAATTTTTTTTTCTAAATCCGATTTTTTTTATACCTACACTTAAAAAAATTGCAAATTTTTGCCGCCCCTTAGATCTGCCGCCATTGGCCGCGGCCCATGCGGCCACCCCCTTAATCCGGCCCTGCTGTTTGGTGCAACACTAGATACGACCATTAAAACAGGTAACTGCAGACGCGTTTCGACTGGCGGGCAACTGCAGGCTCGAAACGTGTGTATTCAGTTGCCTTCCTTAATGGTCGCAACGAGTGTTGTACCAAACAGCGTATCTCTTATAGGGGAAAGTGTGCTCGAATGAGCTTTTCCCCTCTGCATTGAGATTTAAGTTTTCTGAATCGTAACGCATGTTGGCTACATTTTCAACTTTCCTTCTGTACGACTCGTGCGTCAACCACAGTCACTTTGTAATTTTGGTTTTTCGTATGATGAATTCTTCTATACAATCGTTACGACCGTCACAGCTATTATTTTGATCTACCAGTAAGAATAAGGGTTTGATAAGCTTATTTATTTTTAAGAGTTATACAATTAAACCTCATTAAAAGGAAGAATGAAGAAAAACAGAGGCTCGAGTTTTCTTTCCATCGCAAAAATTGCACTTTTTTGCTCAAAATTAGCGTGACGGTTATTACACACTAACAGGTTCAATAGAGAATTTGCAGATGCCTGAAATTTGATAAATTTCACTTTCAAGTGGAAACTACTGAGAGAGCTGAACACGAGTATACCCTTGGTTCATGAATTGAACAATTAATGGTAGGTTATATGACAAAATGATCTAATCTGCTGAAATACGTATGTTTAAATGGGAAATGACGTCAGGTGGTGCATTTTCTCACTTTTAAATTTATTTTTATACTATTTCCCTTATCAGAAAAGAATTATAAAAAAAAAACTGTGAAATCAGCTCTTTAAGCACTTTCAGATGAAGCAATAAAACATTTTTATACAAATTCTTCGTGAGTAGATTTGCATTTTAAACCCTTCCAGAATCCTCTAAATTCCGGCGTGACGGCTGTGTACGATATTAATTTGATAAATGATCAACGATCAGAATGGAACGGTGTTACAGCGAGTTTTGGGCCGCAAAGCCTCAAGCGGCCGTTTTGACAAACAAAAACACCCGTGAAGGTCGTGACGTCGAAACTTCATGACAGCGTATTTTTGAAAAATTTGGGCAGTGAACACATTTTTTCGTAACCAAATACATTGTCAATTTATCTACAAGCATTTTTGGTGCAATTAGTCCAGTCAATTTAGCTCTAAATGAGGGTCATCTGGGAAAATCCATATATAGAAGGTTTTTTTGCGGAAACATGCTGCATTAGGCTACCAGAACAACACATCAAAAGTTTACCAAAATTGGCCGTCCGCTAAGGCCGCCATCTTGAAAAAAGGGGGGGCGGGGGGCCAAAATACGCCGCCGGCGACCGGTTTTTAGCTTATATCTTGAAAAATATCGATCCTACGGAAAAATGTCACTGAACCTTTTAAAAATATCATAAAATTTCCTATTAGAAACACTATACATTTATTAAGTTGCGACTTCTGGTTCGTGAGATATGGCGGTAGTTTCCTGCGGCTAGGAAAGTCAAATCTTGCGAGAAATCACGTTTTTTCAACAAAATCTGTAATTATCTTAAAAACGGCGAGTCTGAGGCAAAAAAGTGTTCTTACCGGAATGAAAGAGCATAAAATTTCTATGCTACGAATGCTTATGAATTCACCAGGGGGTCCGCCCCCGGAGCGCTATGCGGTCCGAACCAACGGCGGCTACAACGCGGTGAGGCTCGGCTTGGCCGCGCCATGAATTGTTGCGGTCCAAGATGAAATGGCTTCACTTTTTTGGTAGATTTACCGCGAGGGTAAGTCATATTATCCATTTAAATATGTGCTAATTTCCTTTCATCATGAACCCCCCCCTCCCCCTTTAGGTCATGCATAAAGTATAGTTAATAAATGTCAACGGTCGCGCTTGAAGATAATGTTATTATTTTATGCTTTCTTATTCAAATTAAATTTGTCAAACAACAAATCTTTTTTTTTCAAAGTAACTAGAAGGAAATGAATTAATACAAAATATAGAAATAGGAATAAGACAAGCATTTCTTCGTTTATTACCTTAAGCGGTGGAATCGTTTATTAATACCTATATGTTGAAAAGCATGATGGTCTTGAAGGTTCGATTGTTTTTGATGGATACGAACAAAAAGCGCAACAGATTCTACAAAAAGCGTTGAAAGGTGACGACGTTATAGCTTTAAGAAATGTCCTGCCTTAATTTTTTTTGAGGACACTCCTCTATCCGTGGCCCAGGACTTGCTTCTATCTATAATGAAAAGAATGAGGCGCGTTTAATTCGCTTGTTATCGAAACACTTTACTACAGGGAGTCAAGTTAAAGTATCTCAAGCAGAGGACGATGCGGATACTCTCATCGTAAATGAGGCTATCAGTATGCCGAGAGGAACGAAGAAACAAGTTGTTATCGTTGGTAGAGTACCTACCTATATTGAGAGAGTAAGGCCACTGGGCCCCATGGAGAGACTTTTAGGACCCAAAAATGGCGGTGCTTTGTTTTGGTTTCTGTGGATAGGAGGGGGGTCATTGCCATCTTTTGACGGTTTTCACCAACCGCACTTGCTGCCAACCTTACTACATCCAAGATAATTTTTCTCAAAAATTGCACACGATTAGCCTTAAATATATGCAAAGAATCGCAATAGTGCATTTGGGTAAATTTCTCGTTACGATAAGCAAAGAAAACTACAATTTGAGTCATTTTGCATCACATTAATTTATGGCGTCCGCCATTTTTGGGTCCTAAGGGCTCCATTCAGCCTAAGATGGCTGAGCCAGAGCCAATCAGAGGTGGTAACACCGGTGGCCATACTCTCTCAATATAGGTACTCTAATCGTTGGTGAAGACATTGACCTCCTTGTTCTAATGATAGCTTTGACGCCTGCATCAAGCGACGTCCTATCACTCAAACCAGGTATAAGGGCAAATATGCAGCCCAAATTTTTAGCTCAAATCGATTGCGAACATCGAACGTAAATTTGAAGAAGAGCATTCTGTTTATCTATGTCGTCAGTGGATGTGATACTACTTCAGCATTTCGTGGCAAGGGCAAAGGCAAATTTATTAAACTGTTAGAAAAATGTGGCGAAGTCTCTTGTGTTGCTGAGAAATTTGATGAAACCGACTGCACTCAAGATGAGCTTTGTCAAGCGGGTGAGCAACTCGTTCTTTTGCTGTATTGTGCTGAAAAATCAGTTACCTACTGCTTTGAACAAATGCAGATTGAACCCTTTCACGCACCTTTCAACGCTTTTTGTAGAATCTGTTGCGCTTTTTGTTCGTATCCATCAAAAACAATCGAACCTTCAAGACCATCATGCTTTTCAACATATAGGTATTAATAAACGATTCCACCGCTTAAGGTAATAAACGAAGAAATGCTTGTCTTATTCCTATTTCTATATTTTGTATTAATTCATTTCCTTCTAGTTACTTTGAAAAAAAAAGATTTGTTGTTTGACAAATTTAATTTGAATAAGAAAGCATAAAATAATAACATTATCTTCAAGCGCGACCGTTGACATTTATTAACTATACTTTATGCATGACCTAAAGGGGGAGGGGGGGGTTCATGATGAAAGGAAATTAGCACATATTTAAATGGATAATATGACTTACCCTCGCGGTAAATCTACCAAAAAAGTGAAGCCATTTCATCTTGGACCGCAACAATTCATGGCGCGGCCAAGCCGAGCCTCACCGCGTTGTAGCCGCCGTTGGTTCGGACCGCATAGCGCTCCGGGGG